ATATAACCATGCCTGGCTCATTGCTCTTTACTTTAGTGAAAATGCTTCTAATATGCCACTTTTGAATAATATACTAGTTTTAAAACACATGTGTAAATTGTTCAAAATGAGCCCTGGCTCTATGTCATGGTCCTGCTTCTTCAAGAGGAGATTTCTGGAGATGAATCCATTGATGTCAAACACCCAGGCTCTATCGAGTCACTGGAAATGAAGGAAGTTGACCTCTTCCCACACAGTAGGTCCTGATACAAACAGCTCTAGAAAAGCAATCTCCTGCAGAATTGTGTCAGAGACTTGTCCAGTCTTCCCTTGTCCTTCAATCTGACTGATACAGTTGCATCATAGAAGAGTATCTGCTACCTAAGAATGCCCAGTAGGGGCACCAACACAGAGGAGAAAATGGATTCTTCTTGAATACTTATTACAATAAGAAAAGATAGAATCTTGAGGCTAAGTTAGAATAAAGCAAGTCTCATCCTTGGGATACCCAACATGCCTAAGGAAGAACAATGGCTGATCTGTGTACCATTTAGATTCCCAAGGAATTTTGGGCTGGCCAGAGGCCTTCATGTAAATTGAGACTCTTCTTACTGATGACCTAGAATCAAAAATCCACCTGGAGGAAAGGAAGTGATCTCCCTTCCCAAAGCCCAGGCTGCCAGGCTCTAAACTGTTCTGATGTGCCACCAACATCTCTCACTGGAGGACGTCAAAGAGGAAAAAGCATCTCTGATGTCAAGGGTGGAGTATAAGGATTTCCCAGGGGGCTTCCTATGGCCCAGAGGGAAGGATATGACAAGGGTAGAGGTTAAGCTGACTTTATTTTTCTCTCCAGTCACCAAGGCCAAACTCAGCTCCCTAGGCTGCCCAAGGTACGGTGTGAAACATGGGGGCCTCAGGGCTCTGAGGATCATCAACAGACCCTAGAAACAAGAACACCTTGGAGCCCCTTGCAGATAACTCTTCAGGAGATCCCCACACCATACATGGATTTAATCCATTGCATAAATGCCTTGTAAACTTGAAACCTTGTTGAGAAATTTCCCCTGGGAGCTTAAGATCAACATTCTCTGCCTTCTGCCGATCTACTGGATCACAGGTGTGCCTGTAGATTCTAGGGACAATAAGGCCACAAAGATACCATATAAAACATTTTACCTTCTGTGGTCCAGCCTGTAGTCTCATAGGTAACATCTGCAGAATGAGAAAGAAAGAATTCACTTGATGTTGTTCTTCACTTGAATCTCAGAAGCTGGAGCTGACATCTCCCAGGCTAAAGGCCTTCTCACACTGATACATTGTCATTTCTCCTTGCTAAAACTGATACTGACTTTCCTGTTACTTTGCCGCTGAGATGTCTCCATGAATATTTTTTCTCCCTCACCCTCATTCAACTCCTCTGCTTCTATTCCATCCCAAATACCACCCAGTTCAATAGCATCCCCAAGTGAGAGGTTCAAATATGAAACAGCAGGATGAAATCTGAATTCAAAAAGTTATTTAGTTATTTCTGTAGTTCAAATGTAACATCTCACTATAAACATTTGCCATCACTAAAATATGCCCGATAAAGTGGCCCCAACCAGAAAGAGAGGGGACTTCCAGAGATTACTGCAGAATGGCAGAGGAAACCTGCTCACAAAGTGGCTGCTTGGAGGAGCCTGCTTCTTCAACACTATTCTCAGGTGGGGACTGGGTCACCACATCCACACTATGCTTGTTGTGACATGTACACAGTCCCAGGGACCACAGAACAATGGCCTATCGATGGTTAAACTAGCAAATTCTCTTGGGGACACACAATGGACTGGTTTCCTGGGTGACTTCTTTGTAGAGTGAAGGATGCCTTGGTATTTGAATGTATATCATATAATCAATGAGATGCCTTGTTTTGGGATTTGCTTAGTTGAATCTGGGAGAATTTGTCATCCCTCACGTAGCGTGTTTGTTGCTTGTCATTTAATACCCAATAAAGAGGATATATTGGCCACTCTTTGCTTTGAATTTAGTTAGACATTTAGGTCATAAGAAAGAACCAGCAGTTGCCTCATCAACTACTGCCTTTATAGAGAGAGACACTGCCCTTTAGGTCAAGGCTGATCTTGACGCCAGCCCTCATAATGATGGCATCAGAGAGCTCTGATGAGATAGAGCCTGTCCTCACCACTTCCCAGCCTGCGACGCTCAGAGCCTCAGTGTCTTCGTCTATGAAGAGAGACTGTTGTATGCAGCATGTAACATCAGTTAGGGAATGACTCACATGCAAAGCAAATAAGCAGCTACGTGCTGTGCACGTACAAGCATACATGCACACGTACACATGTAAGCACGGTGTTGCCCACGAGTGCGCATGCAACAGCTAGAAGCAACGGCAGCACTACCTGAACACACGACTCCGGCGTCCTCCCTGTGGCCACAGTCATGGTTGTACCAGCCGTCATGCTCACAGCTGGACAGGTAGGGTTCCTGTCCTGAGCAGTACACAGCTCCCAAGAGAATGTTCCCCGAGCCCTGACCAAAATGGGCCCCTCCGGGTGCTGATACTGAATGGCCACAGCCGAGCTGCCGACAGACGACATCTGCGTCCTGGGTGTCCCAGCTGTCTTCACACACGGTGCCCCAGTAGCCTTGGTAGAGGACCTCCACCCGGCCCTGACACCGGTCACCGCCATTCACAAGCCTCAGGGGCAAACCTGCATTGACACAGCGGGAGCTGCTCCATGCTGTTCTGCACAGGCACCGCCTTGTGCCCCTTCCTCCTCTGACCTCCAGTGCTGTCCTACGTGGTTCCCCACACTGGACCTGAAATAGTACCTTCTTCATCGTCTTTCCAGTCTGCTGTACCCCACATTTTCTGGAAAATTCCAGACAAGGGATCCTCAATGTCACCTCTACAGTCCTGATTTAACCCTGACAGTCCCAGGGCAGACTCTAGGTTCACATTCCATCAGCTTCCGGTTATCCATTTCTATCACTGCGAACTCGGTCTCGTCCTCCATTGGGATCCAAGATGCCTCCCTGTGCCAGCCTGTGCCACCCCGGGCCAGTGTGCTGGGAATGCGGACATCAAGTTTAAGAACTCTCTTTCCACCTCTCCTCCCAGTTCTCCAAGGCTCTCACACCAGGCTCTGTGTCCTGAACCACCCTGCCCTGGGACCTCTCCATTTGGCTCTGCCTCTGCCTAGTTCTTATCTATACTTGCAGATCAGATACACAGCCATACCTTCTGAACGGTGTGCTTCATGCCCATTGCCGCCTTGGGGAGTCGTCTGTGTCTCCTGGTTGAACCTTGAGTTTCATTTTAGCAAAGCAGTTGGGCAGCAGAACCAGGTAGATTTCTGCTAGTTCAAGTTCATTATTGTCTACATAAGGAGTTCCCGTTCAGCCAGGGTTACATGGTGAGACCCTGTCTCACGCTCATACGCACAGACACACACACACACACACACACACACACACACACACAGAGAGAGTTGTTCGGGATCCTCTCCATCCTCATCAGGTTCAAGGATGCAATGGCACTCATCCAACAGAAGTCTCCCCCTACTTCTCCAACCTGCTCTTCCAACATAAGGATAAGCATGTCGGGGGAGTCTGTAGGCAGCATGCTTCTGCATGGTGTGGTGCCCCTAAGGCACTCATGGTGAAAATCTGGGCTACTTGTGTGAGGAAACAGACAGCAGGTGAGTGCTGGCAGCAGGATCCTGGGTGCGCCTTTGCTGTGGCTACTTTGTGGTTGTGAGTACTCTGTGGTATCAAGTGGTAACATGGATACAAGATGAGGGGGTCAGATGGGTGCTGCTGTTGGAGAGCTTCACAGGGATGGGGTGGGGATGGGGAAAAGACAACTGAGCATTCCAAGATATTCCCAAGGTGCACTCTGGGTCTGAACGAGCCATCTTGCTGCGCTCTGCTGGTCACTCTGTGGATGTCCCCCTAGAGAACTGCCATCCTCAGTCTGGCCCTCACTGGAGGTTGG